ATAGATTCCCATTATATCATGATTAAGTCTAAGATTATTTCATTATTTCGCATACAAGTACACTTTTTTTTAGATATTAAGGTTATGCCACCGAGCTCCCCTCTTTCTATAGAAGTTGTTTTACCTTGGTTTCGCAACTTAGTCATATTAGCAGGAAGACCTAGGGGAACGTACCTTGTCCGGAGTCCGTAGTATGCACGATAATTTCCAGATTCGGACCATGGACTTGATACATTCCCAGACGACTTCACTTGTCTCTTTGACGAGATGTAGTGTGGTGCTAACAATGACAAGGCTCACTGACGATGCCGGCAAACGTCTGGCAATGTACCAAGTGCACAGTCCGACTGGAAATTATCCACACTATGGACCCCGGATAAGGTGCGTTTCTCTAGGTCTTCCTGCTAATATGATCAAGTTGCAAATCAAGGTCAAACGACTTGTATACAACGAAAGTAGACCACCACCATACAAAAGCCCACACCACCTTGGTCTTCATACCTCCCCTCTTTCTCCCCTTATTTTCACTCTTGAACTAGGTGCAAATTTCCTATAACTCTTTCTGCATTCAAGTTGACCGTTATTTACTTTGAGTCCAATTCCTGCCGATAGTGCCTGCAAGGTCCAAAACAGGTAGAGGGTGAGATCTGTAGTAAATGAGGCGTCAGCTTTGTAATGGGGAATAATGTAAGACGCGTCAATATATACACTAGATGGCCTCTTATGTTTGTTCTCTTATTTTTTTGTTCACATTCTGCGATTTAATTTAGACTACTACTTCTCTTTTAATTGCGCTTTCTTTTCTTCACTTACTTATGTGGATAATGCGGCCATGGTTGGGCTCTCTCGATAATCTTTAAATCTATTCTCATTTTTTAAATGTCTAATTTCAAGTCTACGTAAACAAGCAACGTTTCTGTTCCAGATTGACTCATGAGCATTAGCCATCGCAATACTTACAACGCTCTTCGTCACCGTTCCGATGCTGAGCTTCGCGAAACCCTTCGTCAGGTAATCACTTTCACAAATAGATGTTTCTTATTCTGGCAAACATTGTACTCCAAGCATTAGAGCAATTTTGCTCCCTTTTTACTCACTGATCTTTTTCTATCTGACTTTGTTACCAGAGTTGTCTCCAATTGCTTACAAATGGCTTTTTTCAATCAAATGCTTAATTTTTTTTTACCATTAAGCTCGTGCTTATAAAACATTTGTGTGTTTTTGAGTCACCACTTACACTTCTAGTCCACTTAATTCCGTATTTTATTGTTTCCCTCCTATGATGGTCTAATTTGTGTTCGAAAGAATACCACCGAGTAAGGTCATGCCCTAGCGCAAAGTAATTCAAGCACTTCCCTTGTTTGCTTTCTCATATGCCTACAAGCTTTATATCGTCACTATTTATATTTTACAGAAATTTTCGGATAATCTAAAACACAGAAGGCAAGAGTTTGTAAATCGGCTCAGGTGCCTCAACCAAGCCTCCCTTTGTGATAGTAAAGCTGACGAGTCATCTGAAGATCTCTCTCTTGGGTCTGATTTGGATCATGAAATGCTCCAAGTTAGGCGCAAGCTACTCTCCGTACTCATGGAAGAGGCTCAGGTTTGTACTATTTTATTTTCTGCTCTATCGGTCTACATAACTTTGGTTACCCATTCAGAATTGCTTTTCATAATTACAGTATTTTATAAAGCTTAGTTGATTCTGGTATGTTCATTTAATTGTGTATAGTCATCCCTGCCATACTCCCGAAAATTCTCTTTTCACACGTATTTGTAAATAACTCTACTGAATACTGCACCAATTTTTCTTTTTCTTGGTAAGATTGCACAATCGCACCAAGGAAAATTTCTAGACGAGGACTTTATAAACTCTGATATCTACCTTATAGGTTTATGTTCGCATGCCTATTATGCCGGCGAAACGTCTGGCAATGTACCAAGTCTATGGTCCGACTCTGCAAATTATCATGCATACTATGGACTCAGGATAAGGTGCGTTCCTCTAGGTCTTCCTGCTAGTAAGACCAAGTTGCGAAATCGAGGTCAAACGACTTCTATACAACGAAAGGAGACCACGACCATACAAAAGCCCACATTCCTAGACGTTCCGCCTTGCAAGTCTTTGCACCAAATTACAATTCGTCAGAGAGACAAGTGAAACTGATCCTCTGACCAATTATCTGCTAAACAGTTATGGAAATCAACAAATGTGACAGCTGTAGGTGATTCACTGTAGACATCTTCTCTTGGTTTCCGATTGTTCCTCTTTGGTCCATCTTGGATTTACATCTCTCCTCTCTTTCTCTCTCTCCTTCAGAGTAGTAAATCATTCTTTCTATGTAATTCTAGATCCATATGCGTACCTATGTTTATATGTACCTAGGTAATTCTAATACAATTTAGCCTCTGTCCTCGGTTATCCAGGTTTTGTCCTAGAATTTGATTACTTAATGTCGAATACATGTATGATTAAACGGATGAGCTTTTTGTCTATGTCGATGTGTGAGAGAAAACGTATAAAAATATAGTGTAAATATAATCATAACCACAATCCACGAAATAGTAGTTGGGTAACTTCCCTTATTCAAGCAGCTCAGCACTTTCTCTACCCTTAACTTTATCAATTAAGCATAAGAAGGTATGAAGACCAAGATGATGTGGCCTTCGGTATGGTCGCGGTCTCCTCTTGTATAGAAGTTGTTTGAACTTGCTTCCGCATCTTGATCATACTGGCTGAAATACATAGAAGAACGCACTTTGTCCGGAGTCCATTGTATGCATGATAATTTCCAGAGTCAGACAGTTGACTTGATGCATTCCCAGACGTTTCGCCGGCATCGTTAGTGAGCCTTGCTATCAGTAGCACCACACTACATCTCGTCAAAGAGACAACTCAAGTCGATCCCATGACTAATTGTGTGATAAAAACTTATGGTATTTCTTTTTATGTTCTGGGGTATTCATCTATCCTGTATCTTTGTATCACTTCTTCTATATTACAAGTTCTTACTCGTTTATATAAACCTAGTTAAGGTGTGCCCTTTTGACCAAATTACGTGAGAACTATTGATACCCCCCGCTGGTTTCCTCATCCCCCCACTGTGCTGGGAGTGTTGATCCAGGATCCGTAAGATTCTTGACTAATGCCAAGTCTATGACACTTATGCCCTAGTCTCTTTTGTGCCAACCAACAAATGTGACAGTTATAGGTGATCCACTGTAGACGTCTCTTGTTTTCCGATTGTTCCTCTCTGGTCTCATTGTAATTACTTTTCCTAAAATTAAAAATATTAACTTGATCTAGTCTTCTTTTTCTGACCTTGCTGTTCCCTGATTTTCTCCGAGTTTACTTGGGCAATGTGTAAAGTTTTCAATAATTCTAACTTCTTCAAATCTTCCGTTGATGATACTTCTTTCAGTCAGGATATGGATGGCTTCTCGTATCTTATGTTATCTTGTATTTATGTTGATTTCCATTCTATTTCGTATTCCGTCTGTGCAAGGTGTTTTGCTATTTCGGACCTTTCAGTATTCATGTTTCTGCAGAGTCTGATGTTCCTTGATTCGTAAACTGCTTTTTTTTCCTGTTTCAACATTATGCTTCTACTCGTAGTTGCAACTCTATAACGATCCAGTTAGTTAACCTTTTCGTATTTGGTCAGCAGGCTGGTGAAGTGTTGCCTCTTTAAGAAACACCAAATACTCTGCAGAAACATGCAAAATAAAAGTTTCGAAATAGTGTAACCCTAAGGTACAGGAGGTAAACAGGAAATCGAAAGAAGACTAGCTGCATATGGTGAAAATACAAGTAACTGTAAGATAC